GCGGCCCGGCCCCCAGGAGAGGGGTCGGAAGTGATAAATAACTCGGGGGAAGCGGGCACTCCAGGAGGCCTTCCCTGCCCCAGCTTGTCCACCCCATCAGAGAGGGGCTCCCCCAGCCAGGCCGCTCCAGCCAGAGCTGGGAGGGGGTTCGGGTTCCCTAAAACCCGAGGGGGCAGGGGAAGCAGCGGGGTCGGTGTCCACGGGGGACACGAGACCCCCATCCCTCCTACACACACACACACGCACACGCACACGCACACGCACACGCTCACTCACACACACACTCTCACACGCACACACTCTCACACACACACTCTCACACGCACATACACACTCACACGCACGCACACACACTCACACACACACACACACACACACACACACACACACACAACGCGTGGACACAACGCGTGGGCGTCCCTGGCACAGGTGTGGGAGGGAAGGGAGAAGTGGAGACAATTAGAGAAAGTGAAAAGCCAGCCACAAACTGGAGCAGACTCTGCCTCGGAAGATCCAAAGGATAAGCATCAAAAACACATCAAGAGCTCTTGCAAATCCACAGGAAAAGAACAAGTGATCCCACAGAAAAAGATAAAAGACACCAACGGGCATTTTTACAGGGAAGGAAACACATTTGTCCCACCCGCCTCTGAGGGATGCGCCAGCTCATTGGTGCTGAGGGAGATGCAAATGAAGACACATGCGAGGCTATTTTACACCGTCCGAGGAGCAGAAATAACAGCCTTCGGCCCGGGTCTGGGAGGAGAGGTGGAGCCCAGAAGCTCCAGTGATTGCTGTCAGAGTGCAGCTGATACCACCGCTGGCCGGGCCGGGCTCACACAGTCGGGCCTTATCTTACAAAGATGAGGCCAGCATACCCCCTTCAGGCATGAAATCAAGAGGAACTTTGGCAAGTGCTCCAAGAGGCGTGGACAAGAACATTCAAAGCTGCCCTGTTCTTAACAGCAAGAACCCTGAAATAACTCGAGTGCCCACAAACCAGAGAATGGCTACATTAACTACAGGGGGTCCATTCACACAGTGGCCCGTCACGCAACCGTGCAAGCAAATAAACCAGTTCCACACGGCATCATGAATGAATCTTAGCACGGTGTGTTGAATCAAAACACCAGTCTCCGCCGAAACCGGTTTGGCTCAGTGGATAGAGCGTCGGCCTGTGGACCGAGGGGTCCCAGGTTCCATTCCGGTCAAGGGCATGTACCTGGGTTGCGGGCACATCCCCAATGGGAGATGTGCTGGAGGCAGCTGATCGATGTCTCTCTCTCATCAATGTTTCTAACTCTCTATCTCTCTCCCTTCCTCTCTGTAAAAAATCAATAAAATATATTAAAAAAAGAGAAAAGAAAAGCTGCCCTGTTCTTAACAGCAAGAACCCTGAAATAACTCGAGTGCCCACAAACCAGAGAACGGCTACATTAACTACAGGGGGTCCATTCACACAGTGGCCCGTCACGCAACCGTGCAAGCAAATAAACCAGTTCCACACGGCATCATGAATGAATCTTAGCACAGTGTGTTGAATCAAAACACCAGTCTCCGAAGACAGATACTTCCTGTGAACTCTCGACAAATAACAAAGTTGGCTCCTTTCTTCTAATACCTTTGTGTTTAGGGAGTGACAGGATAACCCACCCAAAAGACTCCACGGTAATACTGAGAAATTATTGTAACCAGTAAGAAAATGTTGTTGGCCCCTGTGCCCTATCAACAAGTACTTCAAAATGTAACAGGAAATATCCTATTCAAAATAGCCGCAAAAAATGTAAAATACCTAGAAGTGAACTTATTATGCAGAAGTAAACAGTTGTGCGGGACCTATACAAACACAATTATAAAAATCACTGAATAATATAAAAGAAAACCTTAGAACAGCTTTTTCCCCCTTATTTAAAAAAAAAAAAAGCCAAATCAATTAGAATATAGTCTAGGCCAGTGGTTGGCAAACTCATTAGTCAACAGAGCCCAATATCAACAGTACAATGATTGAAATTTCTTTTGAGAGCCAAATTTTTAAAACTTAAACGAGATAGGTAGGTACATTGTTATTAACTTAATTAGGGTACTCGTAAGGCTTAGGAAGAGCCACACTCAAGGGGCCAAAGAGCCGCATGTGGCTCGAGAGCCGCAGTTTGCCAACCACGGGTCTAGGCATATATGTATGTATGCAGGTAGGTAGATAAATGAAAACTCTATTGAAACTCTATTTTGTGATCAACACAAAATTCAGGTTCCCCCAAGGAGGAGGCAGGGAGATGGATGGGGGAGGCGTAACAAGTAAACAGATCTATCAGTAAACACCAGTCAAGTAAACGTGGGCCCTGCAAAGCTCAGATGCACAGGATTTCGCCCCAATTTGCCCTTCTGAGGTTGGAGGGAGGAAAAGGAAGACATTAGATTCATTTGGACAGACTTTACTCAGGATATAGGCAAACTTATCTGTCTTTTCAGAAGCACAAGGGTTAGGGTCCGGGGTTCCAGAGGGGCAGGTCCCGCTTGGAGAGATGGGAGCCTGAGGCCTCTGTAGGAGCAGTGGGTTCTGGGTGAGCACCTGACTCTGCCCCTTCCCACCTGAGACCCTGGGCAAGGTGTTCACCGCCCTGAGCCTCAGATGCTTTCCACAGGAGGTGCTACCTGCCTGCAGCCCCCGGGAAAGCCCTGAGAAGGCAAAGGCCACACTCTGGAAGCAGAAGTGCATCATCATCACCCCAGCCCGGAGCCTCGAGCCCTGCACTGCCAGTCTCGCAGCCACTGCCTGGTCAGCCGGCCCGGGCAGTCCCACCTCCTGGAAACAGAAAGTTGAGGCCGAGTTGCTGAGAAAGGCCCCTGCAAAGGTACCAGAGCCAGTAGCAACGTGTTAAAGTCAGACGCTTGGCAATCCAGCGAAGTGGAAGAAAGAGGCCTCAGTCCCTCAACCCCTCCTGGCCACTCAGACCCAAGCAGTGTGCAGGCCCATCCCGCCCTGATGAAGTTTGTCTGTCCCTGAGACCTCCAGGCAGATCAAAAACTCACCTGTGCTCACAAGGAGAGAGGATGCCCCGCCTCCCCCCACCCCGTCTTTATCTATTCTTTTCATTGCTGTAATATCTTTTATACCAATGTATCTATCTACAAACATAAACAATAGCTAACCCTTAAACAGAACTCCCATATGTCAGATATAGTGCTAAGTGCTGTAGACATATTCATTTAATCCTCACAACAATCAGATATAGTAATCTATTTTACAGATGAGGAAACTAAGGCATAAGAGTTAAGTAATTTGCCTCAGAAAATCTAGTACCAGAATCTGGTTGTCTTAACCTTAACCATCAGATTAGGAGACCATTACAGATATACTAGTATATGTGCACACACACACACAATACACATATATACACACACATATATACACATAAATATGTACATGTAGTCATGTGCCACATAACATTTCAGTCAACAAGGGTCCACATATATGATAATGGTATACCACATGAGTGTATGACTATATTTTATATATCATTTCTAACATAATTGCATGTGATTGTACACGTTTTAACATGTTTTTAAATTTTCCTTTTTTATATATTTTTTTAAATTTTTAATCCTCATCCAAGGATATGTTTTTTATTTTAGAAAGAGAGGAAGGGAGAGAGAGAGAAACATCAATCAGTTGCCTCCTGTACATGCCCTGACCGGGGAATAAACCCGAAACCTAGGTATGTGCCCTGACCAGGAATCAAACCCACAACCCTTTGGCACAGGACAACATTCCAAACAACTGAGCCACACCAGCCAGGGCCCTTTTATATTTTTATATTTTTTTCTTTCCCCAACCATAGAATTCATGTTATCACCCTATTGTGTGATTATATATTTTTTTTATTCACAATTATACATGGACTTTTAAATACTGATTCCCATGATCACATGTACATATACGACTCCAAGGTTCCTTTTGTAGTTATTTTGAAATAGTGGATTATGTTAAATAAATATTTATTTAATGTCTCCTTTCTCACTTGGTTATACCTGGAAGCCCTCTGGAAGATCTAACTCACTGTTTTTAACAGTCTCACATTAGTTCACCCACCATGTCATTCCACCTGGCC